ACTAACTGCGTAGCTTGGGACGATAGTTAACGTATAATTATCTCCTGACAAATGTATCTAACATAAGCATCGTTATTACATAGCGCGCAATAAGCGAGGCTTATACGCGTGATCAAGGAGACTTTAATTACAACCATAGAGGGTGGAGGGAGGTGGGTGGGGGAGGGAGTAGTTAAGAGTCGACGATTTCGAACACATTGTAAATTTGTTCAAGTAATAATTATTAAAGTGATCGTCAAATATTATCATTGATTTCGATTAAAATACAACATGGGTAGGGTATATTATATTTTATTGAGAATATCTCGTCAGTAATTTTCCAAATTTTTCATTAAAAAATATTCGTCATTTATAAAAATTGATTAATTTTATTTTAATATGAAATAGAAGAATTTTTTCGATGGAAACAAATGTTACCCAATATATCGTTTGTGATTTTATTTTTATGCAAATATATTATTTTTTCTTTTAAATATGTAAAATATTAAAAATTATTATTAATAAGATATTGTGGAGTGTGTGTATATTTACATAAATATAAGAATATGAAAATATTAAAAATTCTGATATTACTCGTCGACTAATCCAATAGATAATTTTAAACGTCATCGCGCTTTTTGAAAGCAAATGACACGTTATATGGAATAAAGAAAAAAAAAAGAAAGAAAAAAAAAAGGGAAAAGAGGAACGGAAGAAAGAAGGCTACGATCGATTTTAATTCGTTGAGAATTTTTCTCTTCTTTTTTTCTTCTCCTTCTTCTTCTTTTTTTTCATCATCTTCCTAACGGATCAACGGTAGAAGTATAAAATACAAAAAGATAGATATAAAACGTCATGTATGGGAATGTATGTCGAGTAGTCCGACCCTCTTCGAATCCGTGACACGACAACGATGCAGCCAACAAGAGAAGCTTCACTGCATTATGCATAATGGAAGCACAAAAGCGGAGATGGACACCTGCACCTAACGGACATGTTGAATCTATAATGTAAATGTTCTACTGAAAAGAAATACCGCACTGTGCCAATCTTTTAGCCGATTTACTTCTACGAAATATATTTTATTAACGCGTACCTTAATCCCAATGGCAAGTATCTAGTACGCGAGTCATGAAAATGAGTAAAAATAAAGAATACATTCGAACGTAGTTTGTGTGAGATTTTATTACCAATAAGGAGAGAACATGACTCAAGCTGGTAAAAAAATTGGTGATAATTATGGACACGATGCAGTATCGGATGCAAGTAAGCGTGGGCATGATTCGTGCGATTTCAATCTGAAAATTTAGATGTCAAAGGTGTACCACGTTTTATGGTCAACCGATCATCGATAAAGATCGATGAAATCATGGAGAAAAATAATTATGCAAAACGGACAAATTAAAACAGTCACGTAACATGAACAAAATCTTATCTGAACGTAAATTTGTTTTTCACTTTTTGCATTTTCATATACGAACGTAACATTGTATTCAATGCGATACTTCCATTGAATTCTCGAAATTCATATTGATTTAAATATCAGAGTAAACATTGCTCGGGGCATTATTTTTTACCGCTAATCGATACATCGATACTAATCGTTTCTAAATTTAGAACGTAGAAACTTAAAGAAGATCCATTCGTAAAAAACACACATATGTTGCTACTTATGTTTCTTATGTAAGTGACGACGAAAAAACTTGAAATTTTTTTTGTGTTTGTATACTTATTTCCTTTTTTTTTTTTTTTTATTCGAGTTAAACTTACGTTACCTGAATATCCGATGTCTCTCACATCAGTTGAAGTTAGAGAGATCAAATCACATCGGTGGACCACCGGCAAATATAGTTACTTACGTTAGTATAAGTTATTACTCGATTACGTAGATCGACATTCGTCTCGAACATTAACAAACAGGAAATTCTTCGATAATATATAATTAAATATCGATAATTGTAATAGTTGTATTTATCTCAACAAAAAACAAAAAAAAAAACAAAACTATTTTTCAGAAAACAATTTCTTATAGACGACTTTTCAATCGGAATACATATAATATATACATACAATTATTTTCCATGAATAAATAAAAATATACAATTTTCAAATAAATCAAAATAAAGTTATTCACTTGATATCAATTAAGAAGTGAATTTTAATTCTGTAGAAATATTTCTTAACGTTCACCTTTAATGTCATTTTGGTATTCACTGGAGCATAGTCGCGATACATATCCCGGATACGATGATTATCGTTAAGAATCGCATCGTCTCGTTATTTCCCCTTCTCTCTCTCATTTTCTCCCATCCTCTAATTCATTCTTTCGTTCTCTTCATTGTACAAGTTACCTTCTGCATATAGTCTTCTCTTTCTTAAGAGACAGGACGACCACGCGCGCCCTGTCAGAGCCCACGCGTCACCCATTACGTTCAATCGGCCCTTCAAATGCGATATAAACGGGCACGAACGATTCTTCGTTCTACAAGGCTCGTCCTGAAATTTGTATCAACGAGATATCTACATATACATACGTAATCATCCTCGTTCACGACGGAATTATAATATTATCTAGTCTGATCAGCTTCAAAGAAGAGAAAGAGAGAGTGTTGATAGAGACAAAGATAAAGAACAAGAATAATCTGAGACAAGTTGCGTAAGGGAAGTCTCCGGATATTCCTCGTAGCGAGATTTATCTATGTATGTATGTATCTCTCTGTGTGTGTGTATGTGTATGTGTAAATGCGTATTCTCTCCTGTCCTATGATGAAACGTTCAAGATTTCTCTCTGTCTGATACATGTACAAGATAACAACTGCAAACCACAACGATCAATCGTATTATTACGAAGTAAAACAATCATTATCGCGATAACGTCTGATACTATTCTGTATTCATAGATTATATTGCATAGAGAATATTCATTATTTAGACGAACATTTTTTTTTTTTCTTTTTTACATGGGCTTCTAATGTTATACATAATTTTTTTTGGTAATTTATCAAACAAATTATTTTCTTTTCTTATCGCGCAAATGTTCAAACTACAAGCTCAGGAATTTGTTTATATCTTTTTAATAAGTCTGAAAAAGGAAATGAATTTTTAAAATTACATCGAAATTTTGGATACTCGTTTTATATATTATGGTTCTTCTAAGCGTTATTATTTATAGGATCTAAACAAAAATAAGGAATCTATACTATATATGTGGATACACATACAACGATTTATAAAGATCACTGAAATATTTTATTGTTTTTTTTTTTTTTTACGAAGACTAGTCACACCTTGCATTTTTCTTTTTTCTTTTCTCATATATTTGAATATTCTCGTATAATATTTTATAAACGTGTATATGTAGAAAAAACATAAGGGAAGAAGCTTTTTATTTTTTTTTTCTAGTTTCTTTTTTTTTTTTTTTTTTTTTCGTTTTTGACAATTTCCCTGGTTATAATCGCACAGATAAAACATATTACACATAAAATAGAAACGACAACTCAAATATGATATATATAGTTTTTTGAATAAATCTATGTACAAGTTTTAGTTAATATAGTGTGTATCTAATTAATCATATAAATTAATATTAGTAGAAGTATTCAAATTGACGATTTTTGAAAATAATATTTCTACAATTTTCACAATAATTATATATATATAATGATCTTGCAACGATCTGCATATAAACGTATAATAAAGCAGAATTCATGTCATGAATAATATAATAATAATTAATAGATAGATAGATATATATATATATATATATATATATAAAACAATAAATTAACTATTACAGCTACTTCTTTACACACTTTTTTTTCTTATTTTTATCTCCTTCCTATTAATTATTTATCATTACGATGATAAATTATTATATGTAGATAATGACAAACGGAAAGAAATGGTTGATTTATTTCTGTTTGTTTGTTACAGATTTACTGTGATTATGGTACACTTCTTTTTTTATTCCTTCGGTATATAATTATACTTAATGTATAAAATTACTTTCCCAGTTTTTCTTTACTGTTGCACTTTACAGTCTCGCCGTTTCTAATCGTAAAAATCAAGACCCGTAGTAACATCGTCTAAAGACATTAATGTCCTGTTAAAGAAAATATTAACCATCTGTATTTTCAACATGACATTTAATATCTTTCAGAAGGTACTTCAAATTTTGATTTATGCTTCATATATATATATATATATATATATATATATATGGTATATGTATGTTTATGTGTGTATATATAGATATGTGTACATATGAATATATCATATATATCATACATACAACAATAGAATTATAATTTTAATATAAAAATGATTTTCGCGCGTGTTTTAGAACAATCAGAAAGATAAGAATAAAAGAATAATCAATGTAACATTGTACATATATATATATTATACTTATCTATTATTTTGTTAATAAATTAGTCAAATAAGCAGCAGCAGTTCGTGTGCATTATTTATCACATGATAATTCATTATGATAACTGTATTGTTAATAATAACGTATATATTAGTTTTATTTATATATGTATATATATAATATGTACCCCCAAAAAAATCGATGGGACTAGTATTGCGTAGCATATCGTTTTAAGCGTTATTGTATATTATTGACATTCCAGAACACAATTAACGCAAGTTCGTTAATTTACTTAGCTAATCTAAGACACACATTTACATATATGTTTAAATTTTGTTCAGTATTTAAGCATTAATAAATAAAAATTACTAGACAATTAATTTTTTCATTCGAGCTATAAAACACTATTTAATCTAATCTAACCGAATCCCGTTTAAATCTTATTGTTAGTCGTAATAGAAATCGCAATTCCATATTGTTAAGAATTCTTCATTAATTAGTGATTAATTAATGTGTCAATAAACATATTCATCTTTCGTACAATCCAAAAATTGGACGGGACTTAATGTTTTGGCACATAGTGGTCCATAACTCAGTGACTTTAAGCTCGTGTCACTTGATAAAGATGGGTTTTACAAATGTAAAACATAGATGAGAGCAAATATCATTTTATTTGTTTATTTTTAAAGATGATCTATTATATCATGATCATTTTTATATGACGAATGTTTAATACTATCCTTTTGGGAGTGCATCGTTCTTTGCAATTCTTTCGCGAAGTACATGATCGTCTTTTTCAAACCCTCGGCTAAAGGAACTTTTGGTTGCCAATTTAGATATTTTTTAGCTCTGCTAATGTCCGGCCTTCTTCTTTGCGGATCGTCCTCTACTGCGGCTAATTCGACTATTTTACTCGTACCACCGACCAAATCCTTTATAATAAACGCGAATTCTGTAAACATCGAAGAAATAAAACAAACATGTTAATCTTCTTGTAATTCTAATTTTCTTCGTTTTAATTATCTGTTTTTTTTTTTTTTCGTTCTTGTTATCGTAGAACATTTCTCGTACCTTCGATGGTATGTTCAACCGGATTGCCTATATTTACGGGTAAGGTGTAATTAGAAGCCATCAAGGCAACCAATCCATCTACCAAATCTGTGACGTATTGAAAAGACCTTGTTTGCTTTCCATTACCATAAATGGTGATCGAATCGTTTTGCAATGCCTGGAGAATAAAATTCGATACGACTCTTCCATCGTTCATGTGCATTCTTGGACCAAAAGTATTAAAAATTCGTGCCACTCGTACCGACACACCTTCTTGTCGCATGTAGGCGTAACTTAACGTTTCAGCTACTCTTTTTCCTTCGTCATAGCACGCTCTTGGACCTGAATGGATATATTACGTAAAAACAATTTCAAATAAACTCATCATCTTTCTAATAAGGAAATATCCTCAGACTGGAAATTAACAAAATAATGAGATTGAAGATTTTTTTTCTTTCTAAATTAATGTATCAAATTGAACCTTGAAAATTGAGTCATATTTTGATGTCAATTTATCATTGAAAGATTTAAAGATAAAAAGAAAATGATTATGCTGTTTCATAGTTATATCTTCATTTCTAAGTAAATACGTTTTTCATATTATAATATTGAATATTTCTCTTTTCTCCGATATCTCATTAAATTATATAACACCAAATAAAAATATATATATATATATATATGAAAATAACCTACCGATAGGATTAACGTGACCCCAGTAAGTTTCTGTCTGCGGATGCTCGTTAGGATCCCCATAAACTTCGGACGTACTTGCGATTAATACACGTGCCCCAACTCGCTTGGCGAGTCCTGAAATTTTTTTGTCAACATATTATATGCACATATATCCCTTTTGATAAAGTCGTAAAACTCGTTTCTACTATAATATACGCAATGCATACATACCTAACATATTAATAGTACCCAATGTATTAGTTTTAATCGTTTTAACTGGATTCAACATGTAATGAGGTGGACTAGCAGGACTAGCAAGATGATAGATTTCATCGACTTCCAAATACAATGGTCTGACGATGTCGTGATGAACCAATTCAAAATTTTCATGGCCAACCCAATGTTCGACGTTTCTTTTACGTCCGGTAAAAAAATTATCTACCACTATAACTTCGTAACCGGCTAACATCAAACGATCGACCAAATGGGAACCAACGAAACCAGCTCCACCAGTAACCAATATCCTTTTTCGATTCTTATAATTGAGGAACTTAACCGTAGGAAAATTCTTCGGCACGCGATTCTCAATTTTAGCTTCGAGGTAACGTAATTTACCTTCGAGTTCGCTTATACGAATCTTAGCTTCCTCGATGTTCTTGATATCGTCATTAATAAGAGTAAGTTTAATATCATCTTCTTTTCCATTTCCCATTTTTTCTTTAATCAAATTGTTATCATTTTCGTTGTTTGGAAATTTGCTACGTTCTACCTTGTTACCATTTTGACGAACCGAAATAAAATTTTCCTCCTCTTCCGTATTCACTAAAGTTTTGTAGAATCCTAAAACTACAAGGATTTTATTTTTTTTTTTTTTACAACAGTGAGTAAATTTGATTTTGAAAAAGGGATGAATTTGATCTTGCACTTATATTAAGCAATTCAATATTTCGTATTTTCGCGCTAAAACAAAGACAAGTCGTTGATTATCTAAATTATCTTCATGTTTATTTTCGAAACGTTTTAAAATTATATTCATCGCAAATATATAATAAGTAATTTACAAAATTATTATAAAATCGAATTATTCGATAAATTTAATCAAATTTGACACGCGAAGTTATTCGATAGAAAAATTTGTAATTCGTTTCTTTAAATATAATACTTGCTAACATTAATATACATATATATATATAATTAATGATATATGCATGCATCCGCTTATAGATAGTACGTCTATGTATAAAACATATTTGAAATAAATTCATGTCGATCTGTCGTTACGATAACATCGAACCAAAATCAAACAAACTTCAATAAAAGTTTCTTTTATATACTCGTTTATATAATCGATTATTAATTATATTTTTATATAGACTCATTATCAATACATTATTAAGAATTGGTAAATTCAAAAGAAGAAAATAAGATTCATTATTATATTATCATTGACATTAACAGATCGTAGCTTGCGTAAGCATTATTTTTTATTAGCTCGTGCATACTTAATCATTCTAATCGTATGATCATAAGAATAATTAATTACGCGATTATATCATATAAACGAGCATATATTTAACAATATTAATAAAAAAAAAAATTTTCAAGGAATAAAATTAAATTACGCGATAAATGTGACTCTCGATCGTATCGAATCGAACGATCTAAAATAGCATCGATTGCTCAACGATAATTGTCATTTATTAAATATAAAAATTAACATTATAAAACATACCTAAAACGACACAAATGATGGACAGAGCAATCTGCTTCATCTTTCTCTGGGTGAAGAGCATGCTTTAGTATTGCACATGTCGCACTTCAATATATTTTAATCACTATACTAATCGGAGTGCCACTGCATCAATATGCTTTTCTACGCGAAATAGAAAAATCGTAGGTGGATCGTGCATTTTTCAAAACACTACTCGAAAACGAACATAACCTCGAAAATAGTTAGCGACGCGCAATGCACGCACGTACACACGTACGAACACGGTAGTGTTCGGTCGAAAGATCACGGTATTACTATTATTACTACTACTACGTGATTATTGACGTAGCACAAGTGCTGCCACCTGAATGTCGTTAGATAAAATAATATTTACGACATTTCGTTCGTATTATTAATTTCTCTACTATAATTAAAATAAAGTCGTTAAATGCAAATATATCGATGAATACATCAAAAGTTTAATAATCTTAATAAACGAATTTAATTAAGAATCCTTGTTAAAAAAAATTAACGCGTGTAGAATTGTTATCGTACCTTGGGTCGATAAGTTAACCTCAAAAAACAGTGAAAACATTTCCCTCTCGTCCGTGTCTTTTCGTCTGTCCGTCCATACCGCTTCGTATTAGTACACGCACGCGCAGAACCTATTTTTTGATTGATATATAAAGGCAGTGGCAGTACAAAGGAAACATCTCAAGTGGTTTTTCTGAAGTCACGGTGGCAGTGGCATTTGAAACATGGCAGACATCATTGACTGTAATTTTCCTGTGTGGGGCCTACTGCCTAAAAAAGAAACAGGTGTCTCTCAATTTCTCAGTAAATATCCCGAATACGATGGGAAAGGCGTCGTCATTGCTATTCTCGATTCCGGTGTCGATCCTGGAGCACCGGGTTTGCAGGTGAGAAACAGTCAACACACGTAGGCACGCCTCGCTTAGACGCTTTTCTCCTATCAAATTTTATTTTATATCGCACTTGATTTAATTTTTTTTTCTTCATTTCATTTTCTTTTATTTTTAAAACAATATCATGAAATTCTTATCTCTTCAATTTCATTATCTTGATAATGTTACTTGCTCACTTCCGTTACTCCTTCTTTGTTGTATATGACACCAGTCAAATAAATGAATCTTTTTACTTTTTATTTTTCTTCATTTCGAGATTGATTTTATTTATCCTTTATAACCAATCTTTTATACATTTTTTTTAATTAGGAAGATCTTTTAAAGACTTGTTTAAATATATTAACGTATATTATTATTATTAGTCAAACGATCTTTTGGTATTGAACTTTATCGTGCAAAGTCATTGTTTGCTTTTTTATATTAACCTTAATTTTGACTATAAGTGTTGTTTGTTTATTAATATCACATTTCCATCTCATGGCCATACACTTTATCAAAAAGTTCTTTCTTTCATTTTCTATTTTTGAGTTTGAATAATTGAACAATTTTATTTTTTTTTGCAATATATAAGCAATGAGAGTGTACAAATGCAATGGTTAATTATAGGTAACTCCGGATGGAAAAACAAAAGTAATTGAAAGATTCGACTGCAGTGGTGCTGGTGACGTTGATACAAGCAAAGTTGTCCAGGCTCCGGATGGATATATAATTGGTATCACAGGTCGTAAATTAAAGGTATTTAATTAGGTCTTCAATTAGAATGTTTTTCAATGAAAATTATGTTATATTTCAAGTTTTTATTTAAAGGTCCCTTCAAATTGGGTCAATCCCAGCAATGAATATCATATCGGGGTGAAAAATTTATATTCATTATATCCTGGTAAATTAAAAGACAGAATTACTGCCGAACGTAAAAAAAACCTTTGGGATGATGGACAGAAAGCTGCTCTTGCCGAAGCTTCCAGACAGTTACAAGTAATATTTTTTTATTTTTTCTATTACGACTAATAACATATATTAATCAATAATTTATTTGCATGAAAGCATTGAGAACGTCAACAAAGCAATTGTTTTAAATTAATATTTTTTCTTTTACAATCATTAACAGAAATTAGATTTTTATAACGATTAATAACATTAAAAAATTATTTAATAAATTATAAGTACAGATATAATGAACCATGATTGTAATTAGAATTGTAGACCATGTGATCCAAAGATAGTGTTGTATGTTGAACCATGTAATTAGGCCGGCTATTTCACAACAAGCTACAGTGATCGGTGTCTAATGCTATTTATATTTGGCAGTTTGAAGTGATGTAAAGCTATTGATCGCATTATATAATATGTTTTTTGATAGAGAAATTGGACTGCTCCAATAAATAGTCGCTGTTTTGTGCATGTATTTAATTTTTATATTGAAAAAAAAATTATATTTTATTATATACATATATGTTTATAATTAATATTTATTCAGACATATATATTCGTGCTTATTGTATATAAAATATTTATTATCGTATAGGAATTCGAAGCAAAAAATTCCAAATCAAGCAATGGTGGGGAAGAAAAATTGGAGAAAGAGGAATTGGAAGCCAGAGTTGAAGTACTCACCAATGCAGAAAAAAAATATTCAGATTCTGGACCTGTGTATGACGTAGTCGTATTCTTCGATGGCAATGTTTGGAGGTAATTACATTTTTTAATTAATTATGATATTATATGCTAAAGAATTTATATTTAAATGTTTCTTGATGTGCGTGTATATGTGTGTTACAGAGCATGCATTGATACTTCAGAAGAAGGTGATTTGGAATCTGGCGTTTATCTTGGAGAATATTCTTTGACAAAAGAATATGCTCCCTTAACAAAAGAAGATCAATTAAACATTACCATTAATGTTCATGATGAAGGAAATACTCTTGAAATTGTTAGTTTATGTTGTAAGTAATTGATGTCTTTGATTTTTTATTTGGTAACCATTATTTTCTGTTAAAATTATAAATTTCATTTATTGTAATATATATTTCAGCAAGTCACGGAACTCATGTAGCTTCAATAGCGGCAGCTTATTTTCCTGAAAGTCCAGAATTAAATGGCGTAGCGCCAGGTGCTCAAATAATTTCATTAACAGTTGGAGATGGGCGTATAGGCACTATGGAAACAGGAACAGCGATAGTAAGGGCAATGATATACATCATGCAACGTAAAGAAAAAGTTCATGTTATAAATATGAGTTATGGTGAACACGCGCATTGGTCTAACACAGGACGAATAGGAAGATTGATGAATGAAGTTATCGATAAGTATGCTATAACGTGGGTTGCATCTGCTGGAAATCTTGGGCCAGCATTATGTACTATTGGTATGAAAAAAAGCTACTGTATTAAATATGTATATCTATTATGTTTAAATAATATCAAATTTATGTTCTTTTTAATTGTACTATTATAGGAACACCACCTGACATCAGTTCAAACAGTATTATTAGTGTTGGTGCTTATGTTTCACCTGATATGATGGTGGCTGAATATTCTTTAAGAGAAAAAATGCCCGGTATGCCATATACATGGTCTTCTCGTGGCCCCATGATAGACGGTGGTGCTGGTGTTACTGTATGTGCTCCTGGTGGAGCTATTACGAGTGTTCCTAATTTCACGTTAAGAAAAAGTCAACTTATGAATGGTACGAGTATGGCTAGTCCACATGTCACTGGTGCAATCGGTATGTACGATTAAAATATTCTTTTATTGTTTTTTATATAAATACGTAAAATTGTATATATAAAAATATTTCTTTTTTTATATATATATATACATATATATTTCAGCGTTGCTTATATCTGGGCTTATTGCTAAGGGTTGCCCATATTCTCCGTACAGTATAAAAAGAGCTCTTGAAAATACTGCTTTATACATATCTAATTTGGATCCATTTGCACAAGGTTCAGGTTTATTACAAGTTGAACGTGCATTTGATAATCTTGTTTCTTATAATGATGCACCAGAAAGAGATGTCAGATTTTCAATTAATTGTGGCACAAATAATTCTAAAGGAATTCACATGAGAATTGGCGTTATTGATCGTCCAAAAGATTATTCAGTTACCGTCGAGCCAGTATTTCTTGATAGCGAAAATATTGGTATAATTTTGTCATACTTTTTTTTTTTTTAACTAATTCAAACTACACAATTTTTGTTAATATCATAATATTTTATAGATCCATTGCGTAAGATTGATTTTAATTTAAAATTGACATTGGTGTGCGAGGCATCTTGGGTCAAATTTCCAACTCATCTTGATCTAATGCATATGCCTCGTAGTTTTGCAATTAGTATTGATGGATCTTCTTTGTCAGAAGGTGTTCATGCTGCAAGGTGAGAAAATAATAAATTTTTCTTTTTTTTTCTTTGTAATAAATATATAAAATTATGCATAACATGAAATATTGATCTGATGAAACACATACTATATATTATATTTTGCATGATAAAAATTGCAGCATTAGAGCTTATGATGTAACCAATATTGCAAAAGGCCCAGTGTTCCAAATTCCTATCACCGTAGTGCAACCATTGGTACTGCCAAAAACTGCTCTTCTCCCTGATCTAACATACACAAATGTTTTATTTAAATCAAATACAATCCAGCGTCATTTTATCCTCGTTCCTGAAGATGCCACATGGGCAGGTATAAATTAAATTTCAAATTATATTTGTTCTTACTTTAATGTTATAATAGCGATAACTCCATTAAAAAAAGAATTATGTTCATTTAATTTCTATTACAGTTCTCAAGATAAAGAGTACAGACAAGGACAAGAATAGTAGATTCATATTTCATAGTATCCAATTGAAACCACGATTAGCTTGTAAAACACTTGAACTTAACAAAATGATAGGAGTTACACCCCAATCGGAATGTGTACAACCATTTGCTGTTGAGGTATTATGAATATATGTATTTATTTTTCTATCCTATTATTAATACGCTTCTTAAAGTTATTGATATATTTTCTTATGTGCATTAACAATATTGATGTTTTTTTTATTTCCAGAGTGGTTTAATCGTAGAAGTTGTACTTGCAAAATATTGGGCAAATTTAGGCGATGTATCGATAGATTATACAATTGAATTTCATGGTCTTCGTATAATAAATGGTAACTTAACGATGCAATCAGGCGATGGTATTAATCGTTTAGAACTACGAAGTTCAATGAGAATCGAAGAAGTTGTACCATGTGTTACACTTAAATCATCTGTACAAATTTTAAAGTATGGTGTGATATTATATATATATATATATATATTAATCATGTGTATTATAAATGTTGTTATTTATGTGTGTGGGTAAGGATAATTCATTACCGTAATTATATATTTAACTCTGTGATCTTAGACCATCGGATTCTAAAATACTTCCATTACGAGCTCGTGATGTTATTCCACCTGCGAGACAAATATATGAATTACAATTAACGTACACATTCCATTCAGCAAAAGCAACTGAAGTTACACCCAATGCTTCGTTGCTAAGTGATTTGCTGTATGAGAGTGAATATGAGAGTCAAATGTGGATGATTTATGATTCCAACAAACAACTAATTGCCTGCGGTGATGCATACCCATCTAAGGTAAGTTTAATATAAATGTTAATATAAATAAAAATTATATTATATACAAAAATATATATATATATATATTATTATGATTGTAGTATACCATTCAAAAATTGGAAAAAGGCGATTATACAATAAAGATGCATATTCGTCATGAAAAGAAAGAATTATTAGACAGATTAACAGACATGCCATTGCTTTTGAGTCAAAAACTCAACAATCCAATAACCCTTGACGTTTATGCTAGTCAAACTCAAGCTTTGATCGGTGGGAAAAAAATGGTTGCAGCATCTATTCCACCTGGACATATTTTCCCGTTATACGTTGCACCTATATCTAACGAAAACAAGTAGGTATTTACATTCTATTCATTTTACGTAATAGTTAAGTACAAAGCAATTATAATTTTTTCATTTTTTCTTATGCAATGTTGATGATTGGAAAAAAAAATTCATTGGAATTAGCTCGTTACATATTATAGAGGCTTTACATTATATATATTAATATATATATATATATATATAAATTTATACGCAAACGTTTGCATCGATGAGATTCTTCTCGATAATCACTTTCTATATATACACGCCTACACATATTTTATAAAAATTCTACAGCAAGGAAAAAAGAGATCAAGTATCCGAGATCAAATATTTATTCAAACAATAGCATCTTTATTATTATTTCACGTATGATCGATTTTTATCACGCTGATGATTTTCTCTTGAATAAGTGGATTTATATCCATTTTTTGATGATCCTAGTTTTCGCCAATTTGTTTTCTTTACAATCGATCTTGATACTTGATATATAAAAAAGAATCGAGTTTCTCCTTAAAAAATATTATTTTGCGTTATTAAACTAAGATATAACTTTCTTTTTTTCATCTTTCAATGCAGCACAGAAAACAAGTGAGTTAATAATCTTTTATTTTAATTAACTTCTTCGCAAAATTGGCATTACGCTTCAAAGAGAGTTAAGGATATATGCGAACAAACTAAAAAAATAGCTTATTAAAATATATAACAATTTGATTGCTTAGCAGTTTTGATAGCAGGTAACGCTTATTGTATATTCCTGACTCATAATACATAGTTTCGCTGCACGAACATGTTTGAACAGTTAAATACATAAAAAAAACAACTGTTTGTCGATATTGTCGCGTAACCGATTGAGTATAAATTTGTTTGAAAATGAGAAAGAGGTTTTTTTTTTATATATATATAAATTTTGATCTCAGAAATTTGATAAATATTATCAGTTTGATAAAATACTTTATCTTAAAAATATTCTAACGAGAAGCTTACATTAATATCAAATCTTTTGGTAGTATAACAAAGAATTTTAATTGCTTTCTGCATTTTTGTATCATATTCTCACACACGTGCTTCTTATCTAAGGCTTCTAAATATATTTGCTAATGATTTCTTGCTTGGTATTTATCTATGATATACAAATAATAATTTAAAAAATAATTTTATATTTATATTCAAATACAAAATTAATTCCTTCTTTTTCTTTTTTTTTTTTTTCAAGGCTATCCAAAGGTGCTACTCTTGGTAGTTATTTACAAGGTACGATTACGTTTTGTAAAGATGAGAATGACAAGAAAGTAGATACTCATACGTTTAAATACGTATTATCTGAACCTACCAAAAAACAAAATAATTGTACGTCTAAATCGGAAAAGGAAAAAACTACTAAGTGGGATGAATATACCGAAGCACTACGGGATTTAAAATGCACATGGCTTGCAAAACTTGGTAATTCAATATTTTTCTTTTTCATGATATACAATTGTATAAATATTAGCTTTTATAATAGTCGTTATATTATATTATGTTGTTGTATCATTCATCGACATATACATTTATATTTGTTTTCTCGGTTTTCCTTCTTCATATAGCACCATCCATAAGTAAGTTATTAAATATATTGTGGTATGTTCTTTTCGAAATTTAATTTAAAATCCCTGTCGTCATATGAAATAAATGGTTATTCGCATTTGCGAACACATTTTTTGCATGTTGAGTTGAATTGAGTTCAGTTATATAGAATCATATTATTTATATGTTTTTTCCCCTTAATTTCATATATTACATTTGTTTAAAAGTGAATTTTAATATTTCCACATTCTTAATTTGTTAATAATTATTTCACATTATATTGCAAATATTTAAAAAAAAAGAAATTAATTAATTAAATGTTATGTTATATATATATTATGTATCTAATATTAATTATATGTGTTTAATTGTTTTCTGAATGTATATCATATAAATATTCTTCTATAATACAGAACCAGGTAAATATGCAAACTTATTGTATGGAGAATTGAAGAACAAGAATGTATCTAATATTAATTATATGTGTTTAATTGTTTTCTGAATGTATATCATATAAATATTCTTCTATAATACAGAACCAGGTGAATATGCAAACTTATTGTATGGAGAATTGAAGAACATATTCTCAGATCATTTGCCTATACACACTGCCATGTTGACATCTTTGGATTCACCTGAAGCGCGTCGTCATCTACCTCATGATGATATATCAGAAGTTTCGATTGCTCTTGCCAATCAAATACTAGCCGTTGCTGATGTCGTTATTACAAATATTGATCAGGATAAATTATTAGCCTATTATGGCCTAAAGACTGATCAACGACCTGATGCTGCCAAAATAAAAGCAACTATGGATAAACAAAAGAATATATTAATAGAAGCATTAGTGAAGAAGGGTTGTGCATTGGCACGACTATATGTCCACGGTAAAAATCAAGGCGAAGTTAATGGTCCTCTCGAGCATTTACTTATAGGCGTTACAAACATTTGGCAAGAAGTACAGAAATTTGCAGAACCAACTGACACCAAGGTGAATTTTTCTTACAGTAAATGAAAAGCTTTTTGCACTGTAACGTAAGAAACATGTGTTCAACTCGTAGTGAGTCTTATGGGTCAAGCATAAGAACTATTGAATATGGCATGAAGCTTTGCACATTAAATCATAGTACAAGGAGTTGAATAATATTATTATTCTCTATTTTTATCTAGGTGCTTATATTATCATTGTGGCACGCACATATTAACAATCATTATGGACGTTATTTGAAATTATTGACACGTTTTTACGAAGAGAAACCACTCAAAGAAATAGATGAAAAGTGTATAGAAATCACAAGGGTTTTGGGCTGGAATTATTGGTCCCGTCATCTAATCACAAGCATACCAACGCGTTATCCAGTAACATATAGGACATTTTGATCAATAGTGAGTACATTAAATATTATAACAAAATATCTTGCAGTAAAAAGATCATTTTTTACAAAATATTTTAATAAGTTAAATTAGGAGATACGTATATACAACTATCTCAAGATTTTATGTTTTTAGTATATGACAAATCTTTCTTTTTAGGATATTGACGAACAAATCGTGAATTCTTTTCAGATTTAACACAATTGGTGACTAACATCGTAATAAGAGAAAACAAATTCTCTAGATAATTTTTTGATCGCACTATAACGATATGGCATTACTGTGTCATAAAGATGTAAAATACGTTTAGAAAAATATTACTTTATTCATAGACAAAAAAAAGAAAACAAACAAAAATAATAATAATAACATTAATAATAATATTATTAATAATAATAATAATAATAATAATAATAATAATAATAATAATAATAATAATAATGATTTAGAGAAATAATTAAAATACACTAAACTCTTATATAAAAAAAAATATGAGTCTTATTCGTACCAATATATAGTAAGCGCAAGCTGTCAAAAACTAACTATAAATCATTTTTCTGCTTATACAAATATAATGTAGCAATAATTATATATCGAACATTTTTCTTATTAATGCTATTAAATATTATAAAATTAATTTAATAAGGTGAGACAAAATCTTAGCAAAATATTTGATCATATTTAAAAAACGAATATAAATTTTTATTGCGATATAACATAAAGTTGACTCGATGCTTCAATGTTGAAAGCAATTATATACTTTGAGACTGCATTTCAAAAGCGCTTATTACGTCATATTGATGGCTGATAAATTGCATTAATTAATTCAGACTATATAACGTAAAGTACAGACTTCCTTATATGGAAAGAAAAAAAAGAAGAATAAAAATGAAAAAAAATAAGAGAAACACGACAATATAATTTATCTCTACTTAAAATGGCATTTTTCAGTTTTACAGTCTCACAAATGTATGCGTATACACATATATATAAATGTATGTATGTATATACATCTCATTTATTTGATATCTTCACATACGTTATAGAAATCTAACTTATTATATTATTTCTTAAAATAAACATTTCATTGTATCATTGCAAAGCTCAAATAGTTTATTTATGATATATGCATAATATAAAATATACGTATCAATGATGCGCAATATATTTTGATTTAATTTGATGTCATCTTATATGGATATTGCATAAATTCAAGTAGTAAAATTGTCATTGCAAAAGTATAACAAATATTACTGGCTGGAACATAGTATTTTTTTGTTTTTTTTTTCATTATTCATAATGATAAATTAATGTATTAATCAATATGTTATAATGAATCGGTCATGAAAAATGTCCACTATAGAATATAAAAATATGATTAAAAATAAATATAAAAGCGAAGACGAGTTTATAGTATAAACAAAAAATAAAAAAGAATTATATATATATATATATATTATCTATAAGGTTTTTCTTTATCAGGATTATATCAAATATAATAATTATATATGTTACTCTCTTACCCTCTCTTCTTNTATATATATATATATATTATCTATAAGGTTTTTCTTTATCAGGATTATATCAAATATAATAATTATATATGTTACTCTCTTACCCTCTCTTCTTTTCTTTCTGATATAAATAGATGACGAGTATTTGAAATATAATAACACAAATGTTTCTTTTTGAGAAAAATTGTACCATTTTTATGAAATGACTGGATTATCCAGATAAATAAAAGTAATAATGGAAATCTAAATTTCGTATGAAATAAATTTACTTGTTTTGGTAATTTTATTGTTGGAACAAGGGTGGCTAATTAACAGCTCTTCGATTATAATTAATTAAATTAATTAAAGGAGACCACTCAATTATCTTCGATGAACACAGATTTTAATTACTACACTTACAAGAACGTATTGTAATCAAACGAAATCCAAACACATTTAAGATAACCGTTACTAAAGTAAAATCTACGCATGTCGTACGCGCGCACCTCGCTTTTTCTCTTCTACGCATGTCAGTTATGCGTGCCCACCTTACTTTTTCTCTTCTGCGCATCTCAGTTGTACGCGCGCACCTTGGTTTCTCTCTTTAATTTTGCGCGGCATGCATTGCCTTTTTGAAATTATCTTTAACAATTATATATACATGTTTGTATATTTAAATAAGAATTTTTTTTACAAAGTACAGTTACAAAGGCGTATAAAATCCAATATTATCTAATTTTTATTTTGAAAAGTATATTTACCGTCATTGTTTTTCACGAAACAATCTGAATGTATCATTTAACTAACTTCATTATGTCTAATTATCAAAATGTTTAAAATTACTAAATTTCTCATTAAAAAATATTAAATTTAAGTCTTAAAAAAAAAAATGCTTTCGAACGCTAAATTAATGGAAAGAATAGTTTTATAAAAGTTATGACTCTGCCACCATTATTTAGCCATTATTTTCCTACATTTGTAAAAGATATTTTTAACAATGAAGTCAACTTGTATTGGTACCATCCTGAATTTTCGCAGAGTCGTTATCCACCGGGACAAGGAAGTAATCACAATCACTATTTTATATTTCATATATAAACATAAATATATATAGAAAGAAGAATAAATTATTTAATAAAAATAATACTTATACTTAACAGTAAGCGAAGCATGTACATTGATATGTCTTCTCGTGGCACAACGCATATCTCAAGGAAACATATTAATTTACAATGTAGATACTTGTCCAGAATTATCTGTTATTATGGCCGAAGCGATGGTAGAAGGTAACGCAACTCACGCATGGATTATAAGTCAAAAACTTATTCCTCATCCATATCTTAATACCGAAGAGGCTTTAAAATATGGTGGCAGAAGTCTAACTATATTAAAAGAATGGGTATAACAAATATATTTATTTAAAATAGAAGCGATTTAATCTTCTTGTTTTTTTTTATTATTATTATTTATTTATATTAGCGCGCTTATATTTATTTTCTTACTTAAACAAAAGTGAAGTTATTTTGGTAAGTAGATTTCCTTTTATCGAACAGAAATTTCATGTTTTCCATGAAAAAATTGAAACAAGTTTATATACAAACATAAAAAGCTTTTTAATTGATTGGTATAAAGAATCTCGGTCAACTAACTTATTCATGTTGCTCATAACATGTGGTCGTACAGTACTTTTCATATTTCAAGAAATAACATACAAGGTATGAACTTATATATATTTTCATTGTTTAATTAATCATTATCAATATTATATAACTTTTTATTCTCAGGTTACTTTATTTGATTCTCATGGACATAGTACTGTGAAACATCCTAATCGAGGCTTAGTTGTCGCGCAGGTAAGAAATAATCCTTACGAGTTTCAAAATTAATTTAGCTTTTAACAACACACTTGTAAATTCACACAGACATCGATCGATAAATTGGAATCTTTGTGCGATTGGTATAGTCATGAAATCGTGAATAATTGTTACAATATGCAGTCCTATCAATATGAATTGGCTTTTTTATATCCAGAAAATTTATGCAAGTGTAATAGTTGTTTTAAAGAATAATTATTTTACATCGTATAGAAAAAATCATTTGATACGCAAAACTACACATGTACATAAAACACGCACGCATACATAAAAGTCATAATAATTTATTATTGAAAAATATTTCCTATCTACCAAGAGGAAGTGATATATCAAATAAATCTCATATTAGCGATTACTGAAAATTCTTTATTTTAATCGGATGAGATAAACTAAAATAAAATAGATTTAAGATTGATATTTATTTACAATATTTACATGCTTCTTCTTCTTTTTTTATATTTTCTTTTTCTTTTCTTTTTCTCTTTCGTCCTTAGAATTCTTAGATTATTATTATTATTAAATCCTGTTGATCTACATAATATAATCATGAGACTACTAAAAAAGTAATTATTGCGCGCCTTCAAAATTAATTTTTTAGTAGTGTTATACGTTTGATACAAATATCATGCAATATACATATTTCCATGAAACTGTTCTCTTTAGTTCTGTGCATATATTTCATCCTAATTATAATATAATTGGATTTTTTCTTACAATAATTACACATGTATATTTGAAGTCCATGTTTTTTCTTTCCATCTAACTAAGTAGCTTTATAAAATATATCTGAAAAATTTGAAATTTGTGGACGACGCGAGATATTTCAAATTTGACTAACTTCTATAATCGCACCACCTTCCTTCTTTACGAAGTTGTTTTAAATATATTATTTTGTTTTAATTCTCCTTAATCATATTATATAATATGTATGCTCTGAATAATTTCTCTTATATCAGATAAAGTTGAAAATAGTTACAATCATTATCCAATTTATACATACAACATTAAGTTTATAAAAACTCATCTATATTAAATATATAATATTTAAATAGAACGATAAATCAAAATCTATTAATAAATGATCACAAATTTTTTTAATATATCTTTTAAATAAAAATATAAATAAATTTCTATATTTATTCTAAATTTCTTTTTTTTTTTTGTATGTTCTATGTTGTTCCGAAATTACAATGCGCACAATAACGGTAAAAATAAACATTTTTTCTTGTTTTATTACTGGATAGGAAAAATTCAATATATATATAAGTATAACTGTGCCAAGATATTTTTGTTTACAATACATATTTTTTTTCTCTCTTTGTGTGTGCTTTTTCTGTTTTTTTTGTCATATGCGTGTATATATATATATATATATAATTACAAGAATAGCATAGAAGTGTAGCTGTTCCATTTGATAACAATCCCTAGCAAATACTATCTACAAAAAACAATTAACTCTCTCTTATAATTTGTTGCTTTTCAAGCCTGATTCTCCTCCTAAAGGAACACACCAATTTATATTCAGAAATATACTTGCAAATACCTTTGGTAATTGAGTCTCGTCACCGCTTAATGTTATCAGTGATCCTAGATAAACATATTACTTTGTACAGTATATTAACAATTAAAAACTTTTTTTCAATGTACTTCATATTATTTAATTGAGAGAATAACGATATGTAGATCGCAAATAAAATACAAAAAAATTTTGTACAATCTAGAATGTGTACTCTATACAAAATGATATAGAAAAATATCTTTGCATCTCCGATTCTCTCTTTTTTTTTTTCAATAAATCAATTAATGTGTATTGAAATAGAAAAAATAATGAACTTAAAATTTAATACTAATAATTAATTAATAATAATTAATTTCTCTTTAAAATCATAGATATATACTATACAAAAGTAATGTCATGTTTTATCAAGGATATATATTATATATTCAAATCTTATTTTAATATTATTTGCCTGTGTAATCAAATAAATAAAGCTCTTTATATCGGAAAAAGTTATATCGAAAGGATGTTAGAGAGACTGGCGAACTCGAGGTTGTGCCCATTCTACGAAATCATCGATCAATACTGGCCATGCTCCTTCTTCGTCATAATTACTCATGTCAGGATTAATCATAAGCGCAAAATCTAATAATAAATTCCATGTATCCTTTGGAATCGATCGCTTATGATGTTCCTGGAACAATATCTCTGTGTAAATTATTAACACATTGTATTTCATTTCTTGACCATTAGAGTCCCAATGATCTTTAGAAAAATCATTTCAATAAATGCCAAGCATTGCGACTATGTAACAATTACATATTGCATTTCAATAATGTGGCATTTTCCGACAAGAAATCTGAACAGCACAATTGTGCTGCTTGGGACTCGAACGGTTAAATATATCACACAATACATTAAACTTACTATATTTTAAATGAATATTTTGTAATAAAAGATAATGTGCCTTACTTGAAGAAATTGACACCATAATTGTAGATATTTAAATTTATCATCTAAGACAATATTCCAATAAGCAATCGCCATGTCAAGATCCAGCCCTTTCTGTCCTGGATTTTTAGCATAGTTAAATGTAAACTGATAAAAATCTTTAAACTTTTGCGAATCTCTTAATTCATTCTCTAAACTATTTAACCGTGCTTTTAATTTATCTATACTGTCCGCTCTGAAAGTAGAAAATATTCACAACTTCATTTTAGAATAGTAGTCAAATTAATACAATTAGATTTATAATCGATAGATTAAATGGATTATAATTAAAATTAAATGAATCTGATTTATACCCTAAATCCACCATGCCGTTCATAAACTCATCCTTGGTAAATTCACATTGAGTTTCTGCTCTGAATTTCCATGCGATAATTAAAACTAATTTGCTTTCTGGACTTAATCCTAAATCATCTAAAAATTTCATTATACCATCTGCGGTTATTTTATCTGGTTCACTTGGATCTGTCGTGAGTAATAAGACAAACAAACGTATATAAATAAAAGATCCTTTTACAAGCTAGGACATAAGTTATTAAAAGAAAAAACAATCAATAATATATTACCTTGATATCTACTAAACAATATTTCCAATTTCTTTTTATCTACAGAATTTTTCGGTTCTTTGTAATAAGCTTCAGGATTTTGAAAATAATTATCACTTGCCAAGTCTAACTTCCAATCGTTCTGTGTTAAACAATAAATAGCAGTTTGCTCACCGGTTTGTGTAAACGTTATAAATTTTTTAACTTTGTCTCTTTGTGAAAATTTTAATTTATGCTGCAATTAAAATAACGACATTATAACTTTTCAGTAGAGTATGAAAATTCATTTTAAAAACAAAAGAATATTTCACACACGCATACACAGTTTAATGACGTAAATTGTAGAACAAATAAGAGTTCAGAAATTAGTTCTTCGTGACAAACAAAACTTCAATTCTCAATAAATATACAAACATAATTTTTCTCATAACTTATATGAATAAAAAAAATGTTTTTTTAGAAATGCTGACTTAACAAAATTTCTAACATACACATATAAGATAAAAATGCATCAAATTTGAAATATTTTCTTAAACATAAAAAGAAGAATAAACTGAAATTAAGAATTTATTATCTTATTGTAAATTTGTACATTGAATTCTTCATATTTCATTATAAAAAAAAAAATTATTATTGACATCGATTAGAAATAGGTTATTTTCTTTTTAAACTAAAGAGAATAGATAAATTGTTAGATAATTAACTACATACAGTTCATGACGAATTATTTATGAATGTTCGATTAATTCTAATAAACATTGAAGAATCGTTTCAAGGCTTACCATTTTAGCTAATTTTAGGCCCCCGAAAGCCAAAATATTATTCCTTTCGCACTACACTTGACATGAACATGCGCATATTTTGTGGAGAATATGAAGAAAAACCCCCATACCGTTCTGAAAATGTATATAATACGTTATGTTAACAGAGCCATCCGACGTTTTGCGAAAACATTTTTTAGTTATTCGCGAACAGCGGGAAATTTATTGGCATTTGAAAATTCGCCATCTTTTCTTCACTCGTCAATCCTTCCATTCGACGCGGTAATATTTTTTGTTTAATTAAATTTTAAATAAAATTAGTTAACAGGTATTTAACACATATATATTTATTTTTATTAGGATAGTATATATAGTAAACAATGATCACGTGACAGTAGCTGTATGAAGTTAACTGCAATTCATATTTGTTACTTGTTTTCCTATCTCTTGATAAATCATACGTAATTCATGCTCTAACGAGTTTTATAGTAGTGATCTCACAGATACGTTTATTATACGTGTATATGTCATATGTAATCCATAAAGGAGCAACTACTGTACAGTAAGTTTCTGCATATTGCCCTATACTATTTAAAGTGATGTGTAAACATGCTTCCTAAGAATTTATAGTGATCACCTTATCGGATTTTAATTAACATTTCAAGATCAATAATTTTCTTTTAATTTTTGTCTCACATTCTCTTTCTTTCTTTTTTTTTCTTATTACTTAAAGTATATAATATATACAATAATATATAGTAATATCTTCTAAAAATATAAATCATGAAGAAATTTCATAAAGATAATATTTATCTATATCTATGTTTAATTAGCTCAATGATATTATGAATATGTTGAAGAACTATGATATTTTCAAATGGACTTGGACGACAATGTTATGATTGTCATTTAATATTTCTCAATTATTTCTAATATGAATAAGATAATGATATTCCACACGTGACCACACTTTTAGAATCTCAATTTAGTGATGTTAGGTAAGTATATTTGTGTTTTTTTTTTTAAATAATAATGGTTATAATTTATATGTGTATTTTATACTTGTATTATTTTTTATTCCGACAGGTATATATAAGGATAATGCGTAACGTTTGTACAACAGTGATATTTAAACAATTATGAACAAAAGCTTCTATCAACATAAATTCAGGATGTTGGAAACAACTTTGAACACAGTCATCAATGTACCGTCTCATCAAAATGGTTCGGGAAGGGATTTTTTTAACTGGATAGCACAAATCAAACTATCCAAAATTATAATATTAGCTTGCACAATTCTTTTTATTGTGCCATTATTTACACATTATTATTTATCAGAGGTATTTTATGTTCATTAATGTTTTAACATTTATTTGTATTTACATGTGTTAACGTATATATGTTTTTTATTTGTATTTCTTTTTTTAGGTTGAATCTGTTTCTTCAGATATAGATATTTATCGTACGTATTCTTCGTTAGAAGTTTTTGAAGAATTTACTTCTATGAAGGCATCAGAATTAAAGATGAGAATAGAAGAGATGCTACGCATCAAAGCATCGGTAACTAATGAACTCAGAGATTTGGGTGCCAAAAGGCATAGGCTTCAAGTTGAATTTACTGGTTTGACACAAAGAATAGAAGGTTTGAGACAAGAATTGTTGCATCAACAAAGAGATCTCGATAGACTGAAGATTAGTGTAGAACAAGCGCAAGTAGCACAAAGAGAAGCGGTTGAAAGAAATACGCCTGAATTAGCACCGCCCAAAAGAATATTAAGGACTGGTATTCCTGAAACATTAGCTAGTACCGATCCAAGATCATGTAGAATGTACAATTGTTTTGATCACAGTCGATGCGCATTGACCAGTGGTTTTCCAGTATATTTGTATGATCCTGATCAATTTCCTGTAGTTAACGTAGGATGGGATGTGGATGGTTTTTTAAAGACAACCATTAAACAGACTTTAGGTAAATAATATTATATTTGTTTATGTTATATATTTTGATTGATGTATTCTCGTTTATTAGGTTACAATCCGCATCTAACAAGAAATCCCGCGGAAGCATGTATTTATGTGGTTTTAATTGGAGAAGCGTTGTCAGTACAACCGCAAGGTTACCCCAAATTTTGGAGAGCAGTGGATGTTAATAAATTACAGGAGCTTCCATATTGGGGAGGGGATGGTAGAAATCATATATTGTTAAATCTTGCACGTAGAGATTTATCGGTTAATTCTGGAAGTACTTCTGTTAAAAAGAATACCAGCAGGGCCATAATAGTCCAATCAACTTTTTATAGAAATCAATTCCGCGAAGGTTTTGATTTAATCATTCCTCCAATTTTGGGTCCACCTGGTGGCGATGTTTGGCAAGATTGTGCGCAGATGTTACCTGCAAGGAGAAAATATTTATTATCATTTCAAGGAGAGATGAAAGGTTCCAAGAGTCCTTCTACTACATTCAATCAGAATAACGATACAGAAGTAGACTTGGAAAAATTGAATATGGATGAAAATAATTTAGATACCTTTATTATACAACATTTAAAGGATATGAGTAGTGGAACTACTCTGGATAAATTTTTCATCCAATTTGAATGTATACCGGCATCGGAAGAAAGAAAAACCGTTGAAGTTCTCGATTGGTCTCTCTGTGGAACTGATTCTTCAAGAAGATCTATATTAAAGGAATCTACATTTGCTTTGATTTTAGCACCAACCGACTCTACTTTGATAACCACCTCTTCTATACAGGCACGATTATACGAAGCCTTAAGATCTGGAGCAATACCAGTTATTTTAGGTGGTGATCAAATTTTACTTAGTTATAACGAAGTTATTGCTTGGCGTAAAGCAATTATTTTTTTACCTAAGGTAAGAATATAATAAAAATAGGAATTAAATATTTTTCTTTTTTTTTTTTTACAAAATCAATATAAATGGCAAATTGTTTTACACAGGCTAGAGTAACGGAAATGCACTTTTTGTTGCGTGCTGTACCAGACAGCGATCTATTAACAATGCGCAGACAAGGCAGATTAATATGGGAGCATTATTTAAGCACTGCTCAAGCTGTTGTAGATTCTATTATCGCAACTGTTAGAGACAGACTCGGTATACCTCCGTTACCCGCACCACAAGCTACTAGTCCAAGTGTCTTTAATGAAAGCTTTGTGGTAAAAAAACATAATTTAATTTATTGATTAATTTTATTTTCACATTGTATTAATCTATTATATTTTTGTTTCTATACCAAAGCCTTTAAAAGCTGATACTACAATAGCTGAACCAGAAGCAGAAGAAAGTTTGGGTCCCTTAGAACCACCATATGCCTCACCTTCTTTTAAAAGAAATTATACAACAATGTTAATTCAAGGCCATGAAATTTGGAACGATTGGATGAATCCTTTCAATCTTTATCCGCAATTACCATTCGACACGATCTTACCTAGTGATGCCAAATTCCTGGGTGAATAAAATAAACCTTAAAGGTGGTCATTCAAATGTTTTGAAATAACTATTTTATTATCTTTAAACGATAGGATCTGATACGGGATTTAGACCGATCGGCAAAGGTTCTGGAGGTGCAGGTAAAGAATTTAGTGAAGCTTTAGGCGGAAATTATCCTAGGGAACAATTTACTATAGTAATGCTCACTTACGAAAGAGAACAAGTTTTAATTAATTCATTAGCGAGACTTTATGGCTTGCCATATTTGAATAAAGTTCTTGTCGTATGGAATAGTCCTAAACCACCCGTAGAAGATTTAAAGTGGCCAGATATTGGAGTTCCTATACATGTAAGTTTTAATATCATTTAATACAAATTTAAAAAACAATTAATTTATTACCCTAAATTTTTTATATATATATTTATTAAACACAGGTAATCAAAGCTTCAAGAAATAGTTTAAACAATAGATTTCTTCCATTCGATGCGATTGAAACTGAAGCTGTTTTATCCATTGACGATGATGCTCATCTCAGACATGATGAAATTATGTTTGGTTTTAGGTATGTAAATTATTTATTTAAAAATAAATGATTTTATTATTAATGTTTTAATATTTGTTTTTTTAGGGTGTGGAGAGAACACAGGGATCGAGTTGTAGGATTTCCTGGTAGATTTCATGCATGGGATCCAAATTTCCATAACGCATGGAATTACAATTCCAATTATTCTTGCGAATTGTCAATGGTTTTAACCGGTGCTGCATTTATACACAAACATTATACATATTTGTATACGTATTGGTTGCCACAAGCTATACGAGATAAGGTCGACGAGTATATGAACTGCGAAGACATAGCCATGAACTTTTTAATATCTCATATTACTAGGAAACCACCTGTTAAGGTAAAAAAAAATTATTTTTCTAATACAAAAAAATAACTTTATTTTATAAATTTTATTTTTGATTTAGGTAACATCTCGATGGACGTTTAGGTGTCCTGGTTGTCCTGTTTCATTGTCGGAAGACGATACACATTTTCAAGAAAGACACAAGTGCATTAATTTCTTTTCTCAGGTAAATGTTTTCTTAAAATATTAGGGATATTGTTTTAATTTTGCATTATATTATATTTTGATATCTTTTAGGTATTTGGATACATGCCACTTTTAAATACACAATTTCGTGCTGATTCGATATTATTTAAAACAAGAATACCTCACGATAAACAAAAATGTTTTAAATTTATATAATAGAATTTCGGAATATCATTTCGAAAGCTTCTATAGGTATGCACATATACACGCATAGTCATATATTATTACACATTAAATTAATTAATGTGTTTGAATTGTGTTATTTGAAATTACTTTTCTTTAGAAAAGTCGTAAGTGAGAAAAAAGAAATAATTTATTTTAAATTTGCTTCTACCTAAATCAATAGAAAAGACTGTTTAATATATATATTCAGAATTATTATAGATGTATGTCTTTTTTAAATATCCTTATATGTGATAATGTATATGATCAAAATTTGGATCACGTCAAACTTTGAATTAATTTTGTTTCTAAATGGATTTATTATTGCCTGTATTGGGCATACAATTGTTAATGAACAATTTAATCATAACGTATTGATTATTCGGAAATTCATAAACGAATATACAGGGTGTCTGAGATTTTCCGGGCCAACGATACCAATTAAAAATAATCCTGTTCATATAACATTTTTTTTTAATTTTCGTGTATAAAATTCGCTGACATTGGTTAGAAAAACCTCAGATATCTTGTACAATGTGAAATATACGCAGATTTTTGTAGTAATACACTATACATATGTTTTGTTTAATGTGACGATGATACCTGCATTTATTAGACGTAAATTGTATATTGGTTTTTAACTAAAGTTGAATCATTTTTCATTTATATAGATATTTTAAAGCACATAACACATTTTTACTTGTTATTTAAAATATGTTTCATACACATCACACATATATACACAAGAGTGTGACACAGTTGGTATAAATAAACTAAATGCAAATAACGCGTGATCATCCATGTAATCAGGGTCCATTAAGCAAAATATACTCCGTCACGTATGTGTGTTATGAGGCAGGAATAATTTTAAAGCGTAATAAACTCGCACATACACGTAAATCACATATACATTTTATTATGATTATTTAAAATATACAAATAGAAATGAGATGTCTCAAAAGAAATGTAAGTGCAATTAATTATATATTTAACTTTGAGAGACTATCGTCAAATAATAGGATATTATTCGGAACAAGAATTAGAACAACTCTAATCCAACAATGTCTTCAATTAATACAGTTCACATTTATTTGCATATCAAAGAACGTAGTAAAGGGACAATGAACGTCGAATACATTTATCAAAAGTTCCATCGTGAATTTAACAGGACGGAAACGACCAAGAAAGCCCATTAAATTCAAACAAAATGTAGAATATTATGAATCGAATATCTAAGTTGTTCTTTTTGTAAAGACTGCATGTAAAATAGATGTTTATATAGATATAAATTTATGCTGTAACTTTTAATATGAATTATTATTATTCGTTTATTAATATTAAACATCTAATTTATTAATTAAAACTTATATTTGAAAATGTATGTATAAATATATAAAAAACAGAAAAAGAAGTCGAATGGTAAGATGTTTGAATTTGGCGCGCGAAAGGGTAGTAAATAACGGTGCTATCGCGAGCGGCTCGTTCGATTGGTTGATGAATCGATCAATAATGGCGAGTAGACCGCGACGTAAGAACGATCTCTTTTCGCGATTGGCGCGTACCTTACACCGCATCCTATTATTTATTAAAGCTTGGTGACTCATTTTTTGAATTTCCTTTTTTCTTCTTCTATCACCACTTGCGAGAGGTTACATTCGATCTAGGGGAAAAATAAATCGCAAAACGATCTAATAACGAAATAAGTATAAAAAGAAAAGAAAATATAAAAAATAAAAAAGAACAAGAATAATAATGAGAAGAAGAAAGTTTTCGATCATCTAGCGATTGCAAGGTTTGTGGACCGGCGTAAAGGGTGGCTAAAAAAAGATAGAAAGAGAGAGAGAGAAAGAGAGAGGGGGTGACATGCCTCGGGGCGACAAGCGCCCTTTCCTACGTCTTCCCACCACTCCTAGGGAAATCCCCACTATCCCACCATACCACCACACCACTATACTATCACAGTACTAACACATATCATTAGATTCGTCACATACATTTGTTCAGAATTCGTCGGCGGTAGCCAGTGTTCGTTATATTGGTGGTAGTGGTAAGCCATAGTAGGAGTGGTGGGGATTTGGTGGTCAGGTGGGAGCGGTCAAAAAGGTGGAAGGAGTTTGCTGGTGGTGGACGAGAGACGTTCGTTTGTTCGTTCCTCGCGCAACCGCGTTCGCACGCAAGTGCGACAAAGTACACCCTCTTCTCTCCCCGGTAAAACGTATTTTCTCTTTCCCTCTTTCCATCGCTCTCTCTCTCTCTCTCTCTCTCTCTTTCTTTATCTCTATTTTTTGTCTCTTTTATACACAGTTTATTATATATATATAAATATATATATACATATATACACGATTAAATCCAAAGTTAGATAATATAAAAAAATGTTTTTTTTAATCATGGAACTGAAAATAAAGATAAATATATTTTTTTTTCTAACCACACACACACACACGCATCGAGAAAAGTCCTAGGAAGAAACTAATAAGTAATATAATAAGATCGTTAGTGTGGTGGTAAATTAAAAGTCACCTGTCGGGATCGGCTCTCATCGGGATCGTTCGTATCGTTGCAGGGAGGGGCGTCTAAAGGTGCGGTGATTCAAGGGAGGGAGAAACTAGAGAGACAGAGAGGGAGTGAGAGAGAAAGAGATAGATAGATAGTGAGTCGAGTAGTGGGAGTAAGGGAGAGAAGGACACCGTATCGTCAGCGAGAGTAGTACCAATCGCGAGTCGAGTCGACGGATATAATCGTGGCCGTCGAGGGAAGCGCATTCGAAGGGTCGTCGTCGTCGCGCGTTTCCAACTAACTACTAATAATAATAATAATAATCATTATCATCATTATCATCATCGTCGCAATAATAATCACGATATAAAAATATAATATTATAAAGAAAAAAACCGAGAGGGAGAAAAAAGAAGAGTAAGGAAATTAATAAAAAAAAAAAAAGAAAGATAAAGAAAGATAGAAGGGTGGAAGAAGAAGAAGAAGAAGAAGAAGAAGAAGCGAGCAAGCGAGAAAAGGAACATCGTTAAGCTTTGACTACTATTTTTCCTATACTTGGATTCCTATCACCCTGACTACTACAACTACTATATTACATCGGGAATTAGTTGGATTTTATTTTCAACGGGTTGTGACTGTCTACTCGCGTGTTATACAAATCCGTGCTGCTATTTCAACGAGATTCGAGAACTGTGAGTGTTTAATCTTGAACCTGATCAAATTTGGAGTCTATATGGTTATCCTTAGGAAAAGAATAAATAACGAACAAATTCTTCGTTATTAAATCGAAGAAAAAGAAATAATAAATCGAGGATTATAAGAAGAAATAAGAAAAGAAGAAGAAGAAGAAGGAGAAGAAGAAGAATAAGAAGAAGAAGAAGAAGAAGAAGAAGAAGAAGAAGAAGAAGTTGAATAAGAAGAAATTGATTACAGTAGTACTGGCGAGGTAACGGATTAAGCTCGCTCGAGGAAGCAATTTTCTCATGGGTGTGGAACGATCCGGGAGAGGAGCGCGATATATCTCGAGTGTGTGTGGGTGTCGCGGTCACTGCGGAGAGGGCTCGCTCGCAGTGGATAGCGCCATCATCGTGTCGGCTGCCACGTGAAGCGCTTCCGAGACCTTTTTTGGTTATCTATTTTTCTTCCTTTCTCTCTCTCTCTTTCATTTATTTAATCTCCCTCATTTATAATCTTTTATACGAATAGAATAATATTCTCTCCCTTGACTCTTATTCCCGTACTTGTCGCATCCCTTAAAACTTCACTTTTTTAATTTACCCGCTTTTTTGGTGGAAATTAGCAGTGAGTTAGGACTCGGATTTAAAACGGGAACGGAACGATACGAAACGGAACGGAATCAAGCCGAACGACGGAATTAAGCGGAACGGAACGGAACGGAACGGGAGGAGTGGACAAAAGAAGGAAGAGAGGATAAGAGAGAGAGAGAGAGAGAGATAAAAGAGAGATCAAATATTAAGAAGAAAATAAAAATATATATTATCTGGAGTGTTCTTCGATTAGTAGGACCATTTGTTAAGGAAGTTTGATCGTTGTGCTACGTCCCAAGTTGGAATATTTGTATCCTTACGATTCGACAAGGATAAAAATGATTTTTTCTCTATAATTATTATCCCACTTTCTGTAAGGGATTTTAGAGAAGTTCAAGAGAAAGATTGGAAAAGTTAGGAAGATTGAGGATTAATCAAACAAGTAAAGAAGGAAGCAAACAAGGAAGCCGTTGACCTCGCTGTCTGTCCTATTGGAAGATAAGGAAGCGGATATAATCGAAGTAGGGATTAACGAAGCGAAAATCGCGAAAAAAGGATAGAGAAATCGAGCGAGTTGATTCGAGCCGAGTCGAGTTGAGTCGAGCCGAGTCGAATCGAGTCGAGTCGAGTCGTGTGGTGGCAGCCCAGTGACCCGTTTTCTCCCTTTACCCTTAAATCGATGTACTCCCGTGCCGTTTAGAAGGGAACGAAAACAAAACACGAGCTTTCAAAGACCCTTACACGCTCCTTCTTCGCTACTCTTTCTTCGAGGATATCGGAAACACGGCAACACGCTACCCGTGACCCCCTTTTTCATTCCAAATCGATGTAGTTCTCGTTGATCGAGAGAGTGTGCCAGAGAAAGAGAGAGAAAGAAATAACGTTAAGATTAACAAAGATAGATAGATAGATAGATAGATAGATAAATAGATAGATAGACGGATAGCCAAATAGATAGATAGATAACAAAAAAAGGGATATAGAAAAAAAGAAAAACAAATAAAGTATTTGAAGAAAGTGAATTTTCCTTTGACAATCATAAGAACAACAACGTCCCTCGACGTCGTTCCATGCTGGATCCGAGCGTTGGACCAGGTACGACGGAGAGGGAAGAGAGAAGAAGAAGAATGCGAGAACCTTTTAAAAGTCTGTGAACATGATTTGTCATACGGATGTCGCGGGTGGTAATCGTAAGACGAGCAACACCGACGACGAAGACGAAGACGACGACGGCGACGACGAGGACGAGGACGAGGACGACGAGGAGGAGGACGAGGACGACGAGGACGAGGCCGATAACGATTACGATAACGACAAGAACGAGGAGGAGGATAAGGAGAACGAAGACAAGGAGGAGGACAAAGAGGAAGACAAAGGAACGAATTATTTCACAATTGATACGTTTAACGCGTTGAGGACTATTGTTGTTATTAGAGAGGAAGATAGGATAATAAGGAGAAGGAGAAGAAGAAGGATAGATAGAGGAGAACAAGTAGAAGAAGAAGAAGAAGAAGAAGAAGAAGAGGAGGAAGAAGAAAAAGAAGGGGAGGGCGTAACGTCGCGGGCGTGTTTGCGAGGGTTTGGTGATAAGGTGGTGCGTTCACCGGGTGTCGGATGACTCGGCGACGAGGGCTTAGATATCCCGTAGTCGTAGAAAAGGCGCGTTATCCCGCGATAATAATAAAAATAATAATAACAGAAGGTGGTTATATATCAGTCTTATATTCGATAAGAGAACATAGTTCGCGCGAGTCCGTCGCGTTATCTCGTAGGCGACGTCGCCGGTGCGTTTTGGCGCTGCATCAGCACCGGCCTCCTTCTCTTAGCCAGGCCGCTGCCCACCATCCTGCCCACCAACACGTTAAACCCCGACCTCCCCCCCGTGCTGCACCCAACTCGCCCAACCTCTTTACACCGTGATGGAGGACTTACCCGATATCTCGCACCTCACTCCCGAGGAGAGGCGCATCATCGAGGAAGTCGTCATACGGCAAAAGAGGGAGGAGGAAAAAGAGAATGAAATTATGAGGTAAGGTTTATTCATTTACAGGTATTTTTTTGGGGGGTGGGGGGTGGGGGAGGGCAAATTTTCTATCTCGGTTAGAAAGTAACATGCTGACGATAACTAAACGAAAGTACGATGCTGACTATCATGCTTAGAAAAGATAGAGAAACGGAACGAACCTATATATTTTTAATATAAATAAGTTGTTTCTTAATTACTAACAGTTACATTTGGGTTAGAACCAAACTCAAACTGTATCTCTCCCTCTCTCTCTTTTTCTATCTTTAAAATTTGTCGATAAAGTAATCGAGTACAGAAATAACTACAGAAGTTTAACTTCTACCTGATATCGTCCGATAATCATGCAACATATTTTCCATTCTAATACCATAAAGATCCTAACGAATCATCTTTTAACATTCCATCATACATCAATTTATTAATCGTCGTTAATCAACGCGATTAGAAGTAGTAAAACGTTAATTGGATCCTATAGAATTGTTCGGAACTACTTCAATGGCTGACCTCATCCTACTGTTTACTACTTACTCACTTATTTTCTTCCTTCTCGGTTAAATTTCCTTTTAGACAATCGACACCTCTTCTTCCTTTCCCTTGTATAAGATCACTCTCCCTCTCTCTCTTCTTCTCTCTCTTTCTCTCTCCCTCTCTGTCTGTCTTTCTTTTTTTTTAAAGAACTAAAGTGGGCGTTCCACGACAAGTAGATGGAACGTCGTCGGTGTCGCGTCGCGGCAAGTAGTAACGGATTTTAATGGTCTGACGAGTAAAAGATAGCGACACAAGGGGTGAGGGGGCTATCGAACGTTGGTATTATGAATTACCTGTTATAAATTAAATCACTCATTATCTTTCCTATCTATTTATTTCTTTATCAAATCGTTACAATCCCTCTCGATGCCTTAACAATTCTTCAAATCCTACAAATAATCCATTTGGTCAACGAAAATCAGTTATTATTTAGTCATACACTCGACCTATCTTTCCCTTTTCATCTATTTTTGTTACTCACCTGTTCTCTACCTTTTCTATACAAGTGTGTAAAAGTATACTCACACATTTATATACGTACACGTTCACATATACGTGTTATATCATTACCTATATATATAATATCTTCCCCACATATGTATATATATATATATATAGAGGATGCCGCGCGCTTTAAGGAAATATTTTTGGATCTTCGCCCGAGCGAGATAAAAACCGACCCGAAACGAGACTCGTCCGAGCGTCGAATCACAAAGAGAAACGCCGAGTCTTGTTCGTTCGTTGGTTGGATTCGTTCGTTCGTTCGTTCATTCGTTCGATCGATCGAGTTTTTATCTTTGGACAAAATCGTGGTCCACTTCTTTTTTCCTCTATCTCTATCTCTCTCTCTCTCTTCTTCTTCTTCTCTTTCTCTCTCTTTTTTTTTCTTTTTATTTTTTCCTTCTACTTAATCGGTTTTTCTTTTTTCTTTTGTTTTTTTTCGAAAATTATATACCCTTATCGATTGTACCAAGTCGCGCTAACCGCCGATGATGATCGTTGCACCGGTGAACTAAGTGGGTCAATGTTGCACGTGTTGCGAGATGGAAATTCGCAAATGCGAAACGTGTAGAATTACTTAATGAAATTCGCATTTTTTGTTTTCCTATTATTATAGTAATAATAATAATAATAATGATAGTTAGTATATTTTATAATAAAGCATCGTTACGTTTTAAGGATAGTATATAATTGTTGAAAAGTTTTCTTTAGATTCAAATTATACGAACACTTTTAATTCGATCGATGAAACTTCAGTGATTTTATCAAGAAAATGAATGATAGAAATATAGAAAGGAAGAAATAAAGGAAGAGAGAAAGGAAATTCGACGTTTAAGACGATCAAGGAATAAGTTTTAGGAAGAGTAACGAGGTAAACGTGATCCTCGTTTCGTATCAACGTAAGATTCGGTTCTGTTAGTAACTGTGAACTGTAGGAAGCCTCCGGACATTCTACATATATACTTACACACACACATCATATATACATGCGTATGTATACACATAGATGGATAGGTAGGTAGGTAGGTAGATGTGCATGTGTAAAATGCAAAACGGCGAAAGCCCTTACGTGGCTTAGTAACGACGAGTCGCAGCTGCATGCCCTATGCATACCCTATGCAGCTGCGACTCTCTTGGATGGCCTGTGAAAGCGACTAGATTGGGACGGTAAATTCTTGGAAAGGTGAGAGAGAAATAGAGAGAGAGAGAGAGAGAGAGAGAGAGAGATGTACGGGAGCTTTGCGGATGGATGGCACGTTTTCCTCTGCCGGACTTAAACTCGTAAAAATAAAGGAAAAAAGAAGAAGAAGAAAAAAGAAGAATAAGAAAAAAAAAAAGAGACCAACGAAAATATGAACCCATCTCTTTCTTTCGACGATATATTTCTTCCCTTTTAATATCCCTTTTAATTCCCCTCTTCGTTTTCTTCTTATTTTTTCTTTTTTTTTTTTTTTTTTTTT